ATGACCACCGTGGTGAGTTGTCTGCAGAAAGGCAGTGGGGGACACAGAGGCAGGCAGGGGTGGTAGCAGTGGAGGTGGTGGGGCGTGGCCAGATGCCGGGTTTTGAAGCTAGGGAAGATTGGATTTGCTGGGACTGGGTGTGGGGTGTAAGAATTCGAGCACTCAAGGAGACGCTCAGGCTTTTGGCCTGAGCCCTGTGGAGTTGCGGTTAACAGAGACGGGGAAGGTGGGGGGAGCAGGCTGGGCTTGGAAGGAACCAGGGAGTCGAACTCAGATGACCCATTCTGTTGGAGCTGCTATTGGACATCCAAGTGGAGGCAGCAGGTCAGATGTGCAAGTGTAGAGTTGAAGGGCATATTCCCAGGAGGCCTCAGGGCAAGAGAAATTTGGGAGCCGGGATTCAGCATGTAGATGGTATGTATTTAAAGTCATGGGACTGGATTACATTGTTCAAGCCACAAGTGTAGCCAAGGCAAAGGGCCAAGACCTGTGCCTGAGGCCACACCAACCTGTCTTCTTGGGTGCTTCCTGGCTCCAGGCACCCGTGTAAGTTCCATCAGAGCACCCCCTCCAGGGCGTATTCTACCAATTTTTACAAATGAGGAAGCTGAGGTTCAGAGAAGTGAAATGATTTCTCCAAGTCACACAGCCTTACTAGGCCCAGTGAGAATGGAAGCCCAGGACTCTGGCTCCTAGGCGCTCAAGTCTCCCAGGTGGACCCTACCTGGTGCTGCGGGAGAGGGGCTGGGATGACCTTGGGCAAGGTCAGGCGGCGAGCTTGCCGGCAGCCTGCCCACCTCCCTGCGCCAGGCCAGGAGTGACTCAGGCCTTGGCTGTCTCCTCACGCTTGGAGTGAGGATTGGCAGGCTGCTGCCCCCCTCCCCCCAGTCCCAGATTCCTTTATGGGGAAGTGGAAGGCCTGGCTCCCTGGGACCTGGGGGAGGACAGGTGTGGGATTTCTGCTTCCCAGTGCCTAGGTCACACACAGCCCAGAGTTCAGGAGAGCCTTAGAGTTGGCCTCCAAGACCAAGACCTCCAACAGGCTCAACGGGTTTCATTCACTTCCTTTTTCAGAAGTGGGTCAGGGGTTATCTCCCTCTGTTGCCCTGCCAGAGCCCCGCAGCTGGGGTTCAGAGAGGTCAAGTGGTTTCCCCAAGGTCACAGAGCCAGCTCTGGGGCTGAGCCAACAGACACCCTTTCCCCTTCCCTCCCCCAGTGCTGTCTAGGTCACATTTCCTCTGCTGGAATGTCAGCCAGGCCGGGCCCAGTCTCCTGAGCCTGGGCCACACACGGTTGCATTTCTGAGCCTCCTTGGCTCCTAGCCCTTCAAGCCTGACTTGGCATTTTGGGCTCTTAGGAGGTGGGTTCCTAAATCTGGCCTCTCTACGTACTGGCTGCGTGACTTTGTGCAAGTTACCTAACTTCTCTGAACTGGTTTCCACAGCTACGAAATGGAGACAAGAGTGTCTATCTCTGGAGTTGTAATAAAGATTAAATGTGAAAGTGTCTGGCACAGGGCTGTAAACCTAAGTCACCTGCCTTAATTCTATCATGTGGTTTTTTAAAAAATTTTTTAAAAGTTTATTGATTTTGAGAGAGAGAGTGAGTTGGGGAGGGGCAGAGAGAGAGAGAGAGAGAGGAAGAGAGAGAATCCTAAGCAGGCTCCAGCCATCAGTGCAGAACCCAATGCAGGACTCAATCCCGCCGACTGTGAGATCATGACCCGAGCCAAATGGAGTGGGACGCTCAAACGACTGAGCCACCCGGGTGCCCCTCTTCCATGTGTTTTAAATTGCTTTTCATTTGAGCTGTGCTCGTTGCAAAAGGCAGCCTGGCACGGATGACCCTGACCCCTAGGATAGTCCTTCTCCCTGCTCCCAGTGGTGCTAGCCCACCTCAGCCCTGGCCTCACGGTTTGCACTTGAGCTTAGCAAGGGATGGTCCTGTCAGAAGGGGGGAGGGGCATGCACGGCCCCACCTGGTGCCGATTATAGGCAACTTGGCTTTTGGATCTGTGCATTCCGGCAGAGTCCTGTGGAAATGGTGTTTCTGAACAACGACCTCTGTTCCCTCACACTTCCCATTAGCGTTTCTGAGCCACTTTCTCCTCACAGAATGACCTTTGATGGAAGAGTCTAGGCTTTGCCACTGCCGGCCATATGTCTTTGGGCAATTCTGACAAGTCTCGGGCGTCAGTCTCTTCATCTGCAATGTGGAGCACGCTGTGGGGCTGGCCCAGAGTTGTCATCCGTCACATATTGGGGCACACACAGAAAAATGCTGTTTTTCCAGGCTTTTCACCTGGGGTAAATGGAAGAGGAGGCTGCTTGACCTGCAGTGTCTCTAGCTGCCCAGGTCAGCCAGGCCTCCCCCGGGGCTTCGCAGATCAGTACTCCTTCCAAGGGCTGAAGGACGCCCTCCCCACCGCCCCCCGCCCAACCCTGGGTAGTAGCTCGGCCAGTGTCCCAACTGCTGGCTCTCTGGTTTAATTCTCCCTGAAGCCCCATAAGTACGGGTGAGGTCATTGGGCACCGAGAGGAGAGGACACTCCTGGGAGGTCCCACAGCTGGGGAGTGGCAGAGCAGGGATTGCAGCCTGGGTCTGAGCCACTGCACTTCCTGTAAACGGTGGGGGTGCGGGAACTTCCCGACAGTCACACCCCGAGGGGCCGGTCCGGATGGCCGCTAAGGGGGAAATGTGGACCCCATCATCTTCCCTCCTCCTCCACCAGGGGTGGATCAGGTCCTGGCTTCCATCTCTAAGGGTCTCCCCTTGGCTAAGTGAGAACCAAGTCTCTGTCTTAGTAAATTACTTGCAGGGCAGGGGAGAAGGTGGCTTTACTCCAGAGGGTGTTCACACAACGCACTGACTCGAATGTGTGATGACAGCAGACGGCGGCCCTGGGCACTGGCTTCCCGGGCCCCGTGTCCCTGAGGTCCTTGTTAGAGGCCTCAGCGCAGGTTTCCAGAGCTCGGGGTAGTGCCTCGCCCTGGAAAGCCTTCTGGCAAAGTCAGACCAGCATCCTCACCTCCCGATGTGGCAGGGTTGGCGGGAGGTGTGGACGTGGGGGTTGGGGTATCTAAAGCCGGCTGTGGGAGGCCATGTTGTACTTGGCGACCTTCCTGTGCTCATGTTCATAATGACTGATCATTTGAGGTCACCCCTCCGTTTCTCCTTGTGAAATGGCTCTAGCCTCTCTGGAACGTGAGTTGCTCATTTGGGAAAAGAGGGCGTGTAACAAGTTGGATGGTAAATCATGCTTCACCCAGTCAACAGAATACTACTCAGGCATTAAAAATGATGCAGTAGATCTCTATGTTCTGACATGAGAAGGTGACTACAATACATTACTAAGCGGAAAAAACAAGTTGCAGAGAATTTATGGTTTGATCACATTTCAGGAAAAAAAATTCATACCTATGGTAGTAGATGCATAAAGGAAGTATCTAGATGTAGATACACCAGAGTGTTCACAGGTGTGTTCTGGAAGCTGGGAGGGATTATAGTTCTGTAACATCTGTGTCCAGAGGTTGCATGGGGCCAAAGTGCTTCTAGTTTTCCATTCTTGAATACAGCTCACTTCTCTGGACTGGGCAGACGCCCACCCGACAGGCCCCAGAACAGGAGCCCTGGACAATTTCCACGGGCCTCTCAGGACGCAGATCTTTCTAGTAGGTTAGAATGTCAGCATGGTGGCACTGGGGAACAATACGCAGCCTCATTTGACCTGTGCGGAGACTGTCCTAAGGGGAGAGAGGGAATCCGTAGTAGTGCTGGCTCTTCTGACCCCAGAGGGAGTGAGAGCCTATCTGTTGCACTTTCCACGCTCCTCTGCTCTTGTCTTTCCTATACCATCAGCTGTTTGACTGTTGGAATCATGGCAAGGAAGATCATCATGTCGATTTGCTCACACGCACGTTTCAGTGTCAGCTGTTAACGATTATGATCCCAAGTCCTAGAAACGGGAAAACAGGTTTGCACCTGTTTCATCAAATTTAGGAAATACCCTTTGATGGAACGGTCCCTTGAAATAAAGCTGCCACTTTTCTACAACTAACAAAATTACTGTGAATCTTGGGGTAAGCATGGGAAATTCAGAATTTGATGTTTTTAGATGTACTCACCTCTCAGTTGACTGCACTAACAAAACTGTGACCTTCGCAGTGATTTACATGCTTGGTGGTGAGTGGGCAGGACAGTTTTCTGTCGCAGATATAATGGCACTCTCCACAAACTGGAGGCCATGGTGTTGGGATCAAGTTGGGACCCTGATGTGAGAAGCAGAGACTGGGTGGGTCGGAGACCGGAGGGTCAGGATGGGACCTGTACAGGCCCCTCCTGCCCTCAGGTCCTCAGGGCTCCTTGGCAGTAGGAGTAGTGATTAAAACCAGAGCCACAGTCCTGGGTTCAAATCCTAACTCCACTTCCTCAGCATCTATGCCTCAGTTTTCCTACCTGCGAACTGGGGATGCTAGGGCCTACCTTACAGTGGTGTCCTGCGTCGACCCACGCAGAACCCATGGTGCCTGGCCCAGAGTTAGCCGTGGCTAACAGGTAGCAATCCTGCGTCAGTACAGAACGGTGGCTATTTAATTATTGCAGCTGGAGAGAAAGCACAAAGAAGTGGTTCTCCCGCGGGCGAGGCAGGAGCATCCCCGTTCCCTTGCCATTCAGCTCCTGACTCCTCCTCCCTCGGTTTCAGGTGGGACCGTCGGTGGAGCCGGCTCCAGGATGCCCCGGGGGTGTGGATGACCAGCTGCCCAGCCCGGATGCCGCCGCCCCGCGAGGGCCGCTCCCCTAGGGCCGCCGGTGGCCCCGCGCCCTAGCCTCCTGACCCGGGGACCCCGCGCGCCCCGCCCCGCCCCGCCCCTGCCGCCCAGGGGAGCGGGAGCCACGGGAAGGAGCCTCCCGAGCCCGCCGAGCGACCGGCCACGGCGCAGGGACCCGGGGGCAGGGGCTCGGCGCCGGCCGCCAACATTTTCCCCCAGCGGCTCGGCAAAATGACCAGCCTGTTCCGCCGGAGCAGCAGCGGCGGCGGGGGCGGCGGCTCCGCCGGGGCGCGCGGGGCCGGGGCCGGGGGCGGAGCGCCCGCCTCGCAGGAGCTCAACAACAGCCGGCCCGCCCGCCAGGTGCGCCGCCTCGAGTTCAACCAGGCCATGGACGACTTCAAGACCATGTTCCCCAACATGGATTACGACATCATCGAGTGCGTGCTGCGCGCCAACAGCGGCGCCGTGGACGCCACCATCGACCAGCTGCTGCAGATGAACCTGGAGGGCGGTGGCGGCAGCGTCTATGAGGACAGCTCCGACTCGGAGGACAGCATCCCCCCGGAGGTAGGGGCACGGCCCCGATCATTCGCCTGGAGCTCCAGCGCTGTTTGAACCTCACAGAGGACTTGGGTTGTTTCCCCCGATGAGTTCTAACTCGCGGCTAGCGGGTTTCTCCTAGGAACACCATACCCAAATCAGCCAGTGGCCTTTTATGGGCAGAAATCATGCAGTCATTCAACAAACATTGAACACCTACTCAGTGGTGTGCCACGCACTGTACTGGAGCCAACTCAGGGGTCATCAGAATCGAGGAGCTTGTTAAAAATGCAGACACTTGGGCCCTACCCCAACATACTGAAACACAATTCCAGGCTGGGGCCCTCTAGCCTGTATTTTTCTAGAAAGGCTCTTTTTGAACCTCTGGGTGTCCACCTTGGCCAAGTCAGACCAAGTTTCGGCCTGCACAGAGCTCACAAGAATCAGGCAATGACAGCCTCCAGTGGTAAATGCTATGATGGGAGAAATGGAAGCAGGAGAGGCTTCCAGGATGGCTTCCCAGAGAAGGGAGGGCTAAGCTGAGGCCCGAAGAAAGAGTACGGAGCAAGGGAAAGGGTGTGCAGGCAGAGGGAACCACTCGTGCAAAGGTTAAGAGGTGAAACAGAGCACGAGTCACTAGGGAGCTGGCCGTGGGACCATCTGTCAGGACCCTGGAATGAGCAGAGACCGGCAGCTCGAGGAGGCCTGGTGGTTGAAAGCGAGCAGGGCTGTATCCTTAGAGCACAGGGAACCGTGGAAGAGGAGTGACCTCAGACTTACTAACTTCCTCTGGCCAAGCCATGCCGGAGGCGGGAGCAAGCAGTGCCCGAGCGGTTCCCTCCTTCCTCAGGGAGGTCACTGGGGGAGAAAGGGCCACCCTGCTGCATCAGGGCCCAGCCGGCCGCATCCAAGAGTCCAGTAAATGTTTGGCCCCTCAGTCACCGCAGGACCTGCAGTGCTGGGTGCAGAAGGGGCACACAGGTCACCACCTGCAGGGACATCTGGGACATGTGGCCATGGGCAAGACTGAGCAGGTGGGATTTAACTCTGCTCTTCATGGAGTCCCAGCCTGTGCCAGGCACCACCCTACATGTTTTAGATGTATCGGTCCTTCCAGCCCTCATACGCTTTGTGAGGTGGCATTATTATTACCCTGGTTTCACAGAGAAAACCTAGACCCGGCTCTGGCCTCAGACTCCATCTCAATGTCAACACAGCCCTGCAGGGAGATGCCCACCTGCCCTCCCTTAGTGGGTGCTGCCTGGGATTTCTGTCTCCAGGCAGGGGAGAAGCTCTGTGGGCAGTGGCATCTGACTCACGCCCGTGTCACCTGCAGCACCCAGCACGGTCCTGGCACATAGCAGGCACCCAAGGAATGTTTGTTGAGTGACTAAATGTTGCTGCTGTCTTTGCACAGCTTTCTTCAGTCTCTTCCCTGAGGAGACCACTCTTTGACCTGCCTAGATTAGCCAGTGGAAGGAGTCTTAGAAAACCCAGATGGTCTTTGTAGAAAGGAGGGTGTGTGTGTGTGTGCGCGTGTGTGTAGGCTGGGCGTGTGTTTGCAAATACATCCTTTAAGTGTGAGCAGGAAGGAAAGTATTCTGCATACTTTGACCCCTTCCACAGTCTCATTTATCCTGCAGTCTGGCAGGTAGGGGAGAATAATCTTTCCTCCTTTGTCCATGGCACCCACAGGGCTGTGAACCTTTGTGGGGCTTCACCATCCCCTAGTTAGGCCTGTACTGTGCGAGCTTCTGTTTTTCTGAGACCCTTGCTTTCCAATTTGAGCCCCTTCTCAGCACCCCGCCTTGGCTGTGTCCCCAAGCCCCCACCTTTGGAGCTCTGCCTGGCCCGTCGGCAGGCAGTTCCTGAGCCAGCGGAAAGTGCTTCAGAAAATTTATGAGCAGCAGCTGGAATGACAATAATGGCTGACTGGTGGATGGTGGGCTGCCCGAGGGGGATCCTTGCTACAGAAACGTATCTCCTGTCAGACAAATGGCCCAGCCCCCAGCCCCGAGAGCACCTGGCAGGCATCTGTCACCCACACGGAGTTAAGCCAAGAGGCCACAGAGCCGAAAACTTCAGCACCTTTAGAGCCAGAAAAACAACCTCATTGTGGCTGGTGGGGTTGCAGGGAGAGAGGCAGAGGGAGGCCAGAAACATGGCTGGGGTTACTCTCCCTGGAGACTCGGGATCAGCCTTTCTGGAGCGTGCCTGGCCCACTGCCTGCCTCCTTGGCGTTTCCTCATTCTGCTCCAGGAGCCTCTGATGAACGTCTGGTTCTTGCGGCCCCAGGAGGCTGTGCTGAGGAACAGAGTGGCTGCCAGGGGAGGGGGCCTCCTGGTGCAGCCCCCGAGGCCTGCTCTCCCTGAGTCTGGAGGCCGGCCGCTGCAGGCCACAGTCTAGGAAACCCCAAGCAGCTTCCTTCTGGGAAGAGTTCCTTCCCAGCTCTCCCCTCCTCCCCCATCTCCTTCACACCAGCCTCAGTGGGCCAGGTCGGCCAGCCACTGAGCGAGAAGCTGGCCTCAAGGCCCCGGTCTGGAACCCTGGCTCTCAGAGCAGCAGGGTCTGAAGAACGGGCTGGGGGTCAGGAGCAACACGTTCTCTGGGGGCACCTGGTAGTTGCTGAGCCCCTGTCCTGTGCCAGGCACCAGGGGCTCCCCAGTGAACTGGACTGGAGCTTGCAGTGTTCTCTCCCTCTCTTTTTGCTTCTTGTGGAAATTTGGGGTAAGCAGAGCAGTGGCCCACAAAGCAGCTACATTCTTCTTTTTCTGCAAAAGCATCTGTTTAAATACTTTCCGCCTCAAAGGAAAGAACGTTAGTGCATTCCAGGGTGGGAGGCCTCCTTGGGTCGGGCTGGCTGTGCATGCACGAAGTGTGGCAGTGCGTGTGTGAGTGTGTATGCACTCGTGTGTGTGCTCACTCACCTGCCAGGGTGTCCCTGCAAGACCCTGGGCGCCTGGGCATGGGTGGGCTCAGGGCAGAGAGGGGGTAGTGCAGCCTGGCCCCGCCTCGGCTCGCAGAAACAGTTTAGCGTGACTTCTGCAAACTCACTCAGGGTTAAAAGGCAGGGCCTGGGGCCTCAGGCCCATTGACAGCCTCTGAGCCCTTCCCATGTTCCTTGGTTTTGGAGGAGATGGAAACAGAAGTGGGGAGCAGAGGACGGGAAGCTAAGGTGTAGGTCAGCTGGGGTTGGTTTGACCTGGGATCTCCCGGTTGATGGTCGCCTCCTGCCCCGGACTCCCCTGTGGATCTCTGGGGAAGGATCTAGGTCAGTCCACGGCGCAGGAGCCCTGGGTCTGGCCCAGCCCTTGGCTCTTCCCTGCCCCGCTTTCTGGCTTCTGGATGAAGAGAGGAGTCCAGGAGGGAGAGACATTCTGGGTCTCTCAGGTCTCCCTGAGACCTGGGTCTCTCCCCTTGCCACTGTCCCCCCTGAGAATCCAACCAGGGTGTGTAGGCATTGTGCCTGACAGACAGGTCTTTGCTGTGGACGCCATGTCCAAGTTGAAAACTCAGTTCTGAAAATAACACATGGCTTTGCCATGTCACTTAGTCAACCTGGGTCTCAAGTTCCTTATCTGTAAAATGGGAGTAACAATCCTTATCGTACCTTGCCAAGTCGTTTGAGGTTAAGGTGAGCTAATTGAGGTAGAGGCAGTCTGAGAGCATGAATGACGTTAAAGTTACTTATCAGAAGGAACACACATACCGAAGGGTGCATGTGGCCGTGTGGCTGGATGAAGTTTCCCCAGCACCCGGGTCAAGAAACATCAGCAGAGCCTGGAATCCGGGTGTCTTCGCAGCCTTCTCCATCCCCCGCAGAGGTCATATTGCTCTGACTTCTAGCACTGTGATTTGTTTCGCCTGTTTTTAAACCTTGCTTGGATGGGTAATGCTGCTCTGAACATTCTTTCGGGGACGTGTGCTTTCATGCCCATTGAGTATGTTGGAACTGTAGGGTCAGAGGCGGCCATGCGTTTAGCTTTACAGAAGCCCAAACAGTTTAGCAGACTGGCGGCCGTGTCCCTTTACACCCCCACCAGCAACACAGCGTTCCCTTACTATGCATCCTTGCCCACACTTGTGATTTTGTCTGAATGTTATGTAAATTCAGGGAAGGATTGTTAACATTTTTTTTTTTTATTGTGTCTGATATAGATCTTGGAGAGGACTTTGGAACCTGATAGCTCCGATGAAGAACCCCCGCCTGTATACTCCCCGCCAGCCTACCACATGCACATGTTCGACAGGCCTTACCCGCTGGCTCCCCCCACCCCACCTCCCCGGTGAGAATCCATCTCCTCTCCGGGCTCAGGGCAGTGGGGCAAGGGATCAGGGGTTGGGCTTGAGAAACAAACACAGTGGGAAACTTGGCTGGACCCCTCAGTATATTATTCCACCAAGAACAGGCTTCTACGGCAGCAAGAGACATTTTAGTTAGATACCAAGGAGAACTTTCATGCCGTAAGGATCGAAAGAGCAAATATTCACTAAATTCATACTCTAGGCTAGGTGCTGTGCTGAAGGTGACTGGGGACACGATGTTAAATAAGGCTCAGCCCTGCTCTCTGGGATCTTACAGTCAAGGCTGATGCACGTGGGAGAAACATGTACTGACGCTTCCCCTCCTGAGCCATCGGCAAACATTACTAATTGATCACTGTGCTCTTTCCTGCTCCGTTGAGACAGAGCTTCAGAATGCTGTCCAACACAGCACTCCCAGAGTCCTCAGTGACTGATGGAATGGAGATCTATTGGCTATCCCTGGCCTAGGCATGTCGTGGGGATTTTCAGGCAATGGGAGCAAGTTAAGTCTTTTTCTGGGATAGTCTGGTAATTGGAGACTGAGGAATGGACTGCCGGGTCCTTGGAGACTTCTGGCAGGTGAGGGACTCTGTAATTTCGAAGTTTAACAGGAAGCTTGTTGCCAGTGGGGTCCCGCGGTCTCTCGGGTGCTTGTTTTTCTGTGCCTCGTGTCTGTAGGGGGGCTGCTGGGTGGAGCCCAGGTGCCTCTGTGTCCGGGAGTTTCATTTCCTTAGAATGGCTCAGGGCGGGGGTGCTGAGGAGTGGGGACACATGATGGGACAGGAGACTTTTCCAGTGGATCGTTCCTTCTGGGGATCTTGGGAGCCTCAGATGGCAGTAGTGAACTCTGTCACACCCACGTGGAGAGTAACAGCAGCTACCGTTTACTAAGTGCTGGAAACAGGTGAGGCTTTGTACGTTCACCGCTTAGGAGGCAGGCACTGTCATCCTCATTTCACAGGGGAGGAAGCTAAGAGAGGTTTCGTAACTTGCTCAAGACTACAGAGCTGAGCTTTGATTTGGTTCTGACTCCACAACCAATGTCCTTGCTGCTGTCTGTTGCCTCCCTTTATGAGAACATTCTCTGCGGTTGCAACTCAGAGGAGCTGACGGAGGCCTAGAAGTTTACAGGGCAGAGGGGACAATGTTTTGAGTCAGGGGCAGGAGCAGAGCTGGGTCCTTCCTTGATTGCAGGGGTACCAGGAGGCTGCAGTGTGGGGCGGGGAAGAGGCAGGGAGTGAGTGGGTTGGTCTGGGTGAGGCCTCGGCGGGACTGGCAGCCTGGCACAGGTCACGGAACCCAGGGCTAAATAGTTTTCCTTCGACTTTTCTTTCTTTTTTAAAAATATGCCGAGATGCTTTCGCAAAAGGTGCAGTTTCTGTCAGGCAAAGTGGTTCTGCCTGTTTTTCAGAAGCGAAAACTGAGGCCGTAAGAGATGGGATCCCAGCATGAACCCAGGGGGACCCCGGCCACATCCTTCTTCCTCTCCTTTGTCCGGGTGTTCAGCTGCTGTGGGTGCAGTAGGGCTGCGGGCAGGGGCGGTGCAGCTCAGTGATTGAAGCCACTGTTGGGGGCAGGATGACCTCAGCACTAGACCAAGGCTCCAGAGGCCTGAGATTCAGGGTCCTGACCTGGAAATGAAGGCTTCGCTAGGCCTGGGAAGGATACAGGGAAGAGAACTTGAGTTGTGCAGTCAGAAAAAAGGAAAGTGCTCTCCCACCCCTGTCTTTCAGCTGCCCAACTTCTGATACTTTAGGTGCTTCTGCTATGTGGGCTTTGGCTCACTACTTAACCTCTCTGAGCTTTGCTCCCCTCACATGTGGAGTGGGACTACTAATCCCGGCCTCGGCACTGCTGTGAGGACTAAAAGAGATACCGTGCGTGGAGCACTTAGCAGTCCCAGGCGTGAATCAGACCTACTCTCTGTGGTTTCCTGCTCCCTCCCATCCCTGGCTGTACCACTGGCCTCTGAGCTCTAATGTGGAACACTGAGACCAGTGGTGAGGCTTCTCTCAGGGGCCAGTGTTCAGAAGAAGCGGGGCCAGGCTCTGAGCGTGTGCCCCTTTGTCCCAGGATAGCCCAGATATGCCCCTAGGCCATCTCCAGGCCTAGAACATTCATTTCCAGCATTTATTGAGTCACCTGCAACATGCAGGTGCTGAACCATGTGTGTGACGCTGAGATGAATGTAGCATTGCCTTGACCCCCAAGGAGATCGGAGTCTGGGGGAGGTACAGGGCTGGGGGCAAGAAAGCCTGCGTAGAGGAACTCATGTCTGAGCTGTGTCCTGGAGAGGTAGAGGACAGGAGGGCATTTCAGGCAATGGAAGCAGCATGTGCAAAAGCCAGGAGGCAGGAAAGGGGGAACCATCCAGGAGCTTCAGGAGTCCGGGGAACTCCGGGAAATGTGGAATGGCCTTGAAGGCTGGAGGTCATGGGGAGCCTCTGGGTCCTCTGAGGAGCTTTGGCCTTATCCTGCAGCCAGCAGGTTTAAGCCGGAGAGTGACAGGATCAGGTTAGTGTTTTAACAATCTCCGTCTGGCTGCCAGGAAGGGGTTTGGGGGAGGAATAGCAGGAGGTCCCTGAGGGACTGCAGCCAGGGCGGCAGGGTTTGGGAGCTTGCCTTGCTGAGACACAGAGAGGCAGGGTGATCCGAGGGGTAAGTGCCCGGAAAGTCAGGACCCCTAGGCCCAGATTTCACTGGCCCCATCTGTGTGTCCCTGGACAGGGCCTGGATCCATCTGGGCCTCAGTGTCCAGTGTTTACCAAAATTCCTGCCTGGGAGGTTTATGTCTGAAATCTTCCTCGAGTGTGGTGTTCCATGGGTAAACCTGCGGGTCTGATGGGTGTGCAGTGTTAGTTTTGGGGCCTAGGGGCCAGGAGAGCCTCCCAGCCTTCTCTCTCCTTCCCCTCCCCCAGCTTGCCCTTCCCTCTATCTGAGGGATGAAAGAGGTCTCTCAAACCCAAAGGCACCCCTCCACACTGGCCACCTGCTGTTTTTCCATTGAAATTACAGCCTTAGAAGTTTTTTATTTGCCTCTCAGCTCATTTCTGACATTCCTTTCCGACCACAATGGAGTTGCCTGGGCTCAGGCCCCCCCCCCCCTGGCTCTCGCAGCTGTGGCTGACCTCATCTCTGCTGGTGCCAGGGCAAGGGCTGGGGAGGGACTGGGCACGTCCTTCCTTGGGACCATGGGCCCAGCAGTCAGGGAAATGGGGCTGAGGAGGGGGCCTCCGGCTCCTGTCCCCCCTCGCCTCTTGGTCTCAGTAACTAATGGCCAGAGGGGTCCCAATGCAATTCTGGGAGTCTCTCTCTGCCCTTGCCTGGGTGGCTCTGGGTGTGGTTGAGTTGGGGTGGGTACCTGTGTCCTAGGGGAAGATGCTGGAGAGGAATTCGCTGTGCTGGGACCAACCCCGGGTGGTCTGCGAGTCCCCAGGAGACATCCTCTCCTCTGCCCCGGGCCCTTGGGAGAAATGAAGCCTCCAACAGTGACAGGCGGCAGAGTGATGTGGAGAGAGATCCGCCTAGGACTCAGAGTCCCGGGTGGCGATGTTTGCTCTTCTGGAGCGGTCCCTCACCTGTACACGAGAGGGTGGACAGCGTGCTGGTTTCCTTGGCTCCCACCGCGCACTTAGCAGCTTGTTATCCCGTCTGCTGCCGCCCCCGCACCCCCCCTCGTCCTGCCAGGCCACCCGCCCAAAATAGAAAAGGAAAGGAAGTTATTTCCACAGTCAGCGGCAGCCCGGAAAAGCTCCCCTCTAGTGAGGGGGCGGGCGGGATTCCTGGAGCTGGAGACAAATCAAAGCCAGGCGAGAGCGGCCGCCACCCCCGGCCCGCTGCCTTCTGTGTGTGTCATTTCCCTGATTCAGCAGAACACGTGTCCTGCGGTTGCCACGCTGCAGGCTGCCGAGGAGCTGTGGGGAGCTCCTGGCCGGGCCCCAGGCTGCCCTCAGGCCCGGGATGGCAGGGCAGAAGGCTGGGGGTCGGGGGGGCCCATGGCCCCCCCTTCTCTGCCTGCACACACCCTCCCCTCCACCGTTGGCCTCTGCCTTGGCCCTCGGACCTCCTGCCAGGCACCTTGCGAATGAGGAGCCGCTCCTGAGCACCCCTTGGAACGAGAAACTTTCCATTCCCACCTTCAATGTGCCTTTTCAGAACTCTGTTCAAGACATAGCCTCAGAGCCTCATGAGGGGCTCCTGTATGCTTGGGCAGGGAGGCAGTTTTTCCATGAGGAAGCTGAGTCCCAGAGGGGAGCAAGGTCTTGCCCAGGACCGTCCTGCTGGCTGTGACCGAGCCAGAACTGGAGCCTGGATCTGCTCTACTCTATAGGGATCCTGCCGTCCCCATGTCCCCCACCCCCACCCCCCGGCAAACCAACATTCGGGCGGACTGGGCTTGGTGGTTTATGTGTCTGGTCACTGGGAGCACACCTGTTCTCAGCAGCTGTGAGGGCACACTGTCCTGGGTGCTAGGGAAATGCCGCTGTGTTTAGAGGACATTCGTAAACATCTACCTGTGAATCCATGACACGCAACTTGAGCGCCGTGAACACAGAGTGCTCTACGCCTAGAGATCTTGAGGGCACAGGGTGGCTGGAGAGCAGGGACTGTCTGGAGCACGAGAAGGCTGGGCCCTGGGGCCAGAGACTGAGGTTAGCAGAGGCCAGATTGGGAAAATGAGCCGGAGCCCTCAGCCTTCGTTCTGGAGGCAGTGGAGGCCTTGGGAGGCTTCAGAGCAGAAACACCATTCTGAGCAGCTTCCCGGTGTGATGGGCTGGGACCCCCGTGTTTGGGCCTGACCGTTCCCTCCTCATTGTTCCCTCCCATCCTCCAGCATCGATGTGCTGAGCTCCGGACCTGCTTCGAGCCAGAGGCGCTATCGTAACTGGAACCCACCACTGCTGGGCAACCTCCCGGATGACTTTCTCCGCATCCTGCCCCAGCAGCTGGACAGCATTCAGGTAACGGGGGAAGCCCCTAGCTGCCTGTGCCACACCTCCGCTTGCCCACGGCTTGTGCCAGCCGTTTTCACTTCCTGATGTTTAAACCCGGGTGAGCTATTTCTGTTGCCTTGGGTTCCCAAGGAAAAAACGCTGAGCCCAAAGCCTCATTTCCTGTCTGGGCCTGCAGGTTTCCTATTCCACCCAGGAAACGTGACAGCCCTGAAGAGTCCGTGGCTGCAGCCATCAGCTCAGGCTGGAGGGAGGTGGGCCTGGGGGCAACTGGCCGTGGAAGGGCAGAGCACCTTCCCTCCCTCCCGTGGGAAACGGCCAGGGGCAGCTTCTGCCCCTGACGTTGGCACGGCCCGAGGGCCCCTGCAGAAGGGGGCCTCGCCCTGGGACAGGTAGGACAGGGGGAGTTGGGAGTTTGGGAATCCATGTGGAGCTAGCCAAGCTATTGAGCAGTTTGCAGATCACTTTTCAGGACTGATCCCTCGGGACTGACGAGGAATGGGGTGGTCCAAGGGGGAGGAAAAGTAGTTTTTTTTTTTTCAACGTTTTTTATTTATTTTTGGGACAGAGAGAGACAGAGCATGAACGGGGGAGGGGCAGAGAGAGAGGGAGACACAGAATCGGAAATAGGCTCCAGGCTCCGAGCCATCAGCCCAGTGCCCGACGCGGGGCTCGAACTCACGGACCGTGAGATCGTGACCTGGCTGAAGTCGGACACTCAACCGACTGCGCCACCCAGGCGCCCCGGAAAAATAGTTTTTAAGACCTAGCCACTTTCCCCGCAGAGAGGCCTCTGGCCTGCTAAGTTGGATTTTGGCTGACCCCTAGAGCTCAGTAGCAGGTGCAGGCCCCAGGGTGCGGCTGGAGGCTCCTGGGAAAGAGCACGTGTGCACCCAGATGTGCGTGGATGTCTGTGCGGCACGTGCCCTTGCGAGAAGCCATTCGGTGTGCTTGCTCCCCCGTCAGGGTAACACTGGGGGCTCCAAGCCCACGAGCGGAGAGAGAGGCCTGCCCTCTGTGGCTGGGCCGGGGTCCCGGGACCAGGAGAACCGCTGGAAGCAGTACCTGGAGGACGAGAGGATCGCGCTCTTCCTGCAGAACGAGGAGTTCATGAAGGAGCTGCAGCGCAACCGGGACTTCCTCCTGGCCCTGGAGAGAGGTGGTGCACCGGGCGTGGTGCCGCGGTCACTTCTGTGGTGGGGAAGGGGGCTGGAGTTGGCTTTAGCCTTGGGGCTCAGATGAGGCACTGAGCTGGAGGCCAAGGTGGCTTCTGTCCTGTTGATACACGACCCCCACCAAGTTAGCCCCCCCGGGATTCTGGGATTCTGCCAACAGGGACACAGGTCAGTGGCCAACTCTTCTCCCTCCCCTGGGACTCAGAGCAAGAGGGATGTGCCTTCTTAGGCCCTCTCTTTGCCCCTGTGCCAGGCATTGGCCGTGGCCTGGAGCTGGGTCCATAGGGGCTCTCTGAGCAGAGGACATCAGAGCGGGGCCTCTCAAGTGTTTTGGCAGTTTGGGTTATCTCTGGCTGGGGACTGTAGTTCCCAGTCTGGCTGCCTTTCTCCTTCAGGGTGGGAGTGTGTTTGTGGTGGGGTGTGGTGAGAGGCCTGTGGGAGGCCTGTCTTGTGAGGGTGTGCGTGTGTGTGTGTGTGTGTGTGACTGACAGTGTGTGGTTGGGGAGGAGTAAGGTGTGCAGAGAGAAGGTTGGCTCCAGACCTGCAGCACAGGTGCTGGGGTCTCAGGGCCTGGCATTTTATTTTATTTTATTTTACTTTATTTTATTTTATTTTACTTTATTTTTTTTTAAGTTTATTTATTTTGAGAGAGAGAGAGAACAAGCGGGGGAGGAGCAGAGAGAGAGGGGAGAGAGAGAATCCCAAGCAGGCTCCATGCTGTCAGCTGTAGAGCCTGACTCGGGGCTGTATCCCATGAACCGTGAGATCATGACCTGAGCTGAAATCCAGAGTCTCTTAGCCCACTGAGCCACCCCGGTGCCCCAGGGCCTTTCCTTTTAAATGAAGGGTTGGACTACATGATCTCTCAGCGTCCTTCTAATTCTGATGTTCTAACATTCCACGTGCTTGTCAGGGCAGTAGTTTCTATGGTACGGCTGGTTCTTTGAGAGCCGGTTGACGTGTGTGTGTGCACATATTTTGTGTATGTCATGTGAGATCCGGGGCCTTAGCCGCCAACGACCTCCTGTGTCTCAGCCCAGGGTGCCCCTGGGAGAGAGCTAACTGTCCTGACAGGAATGTGGTCCTTTTCCAGATCGCTTGAAATACGAGTCCCAGAAATCCAAATCCAACAGCAGCAGCAGCAGCAACAGCGTGGCTGTGGGAAATGACTTTGGCTTTCCCTCTCCTGCCCCAGGTAACCTTGCCTTCCTAAGGAGAGAGGCCCAGAGGGCATAGAGGCTCACACCCCAGCTGTGCTTTGCATGTTTGGAGTTTAGAGGTAGGGTGAGGAAACAGGCTGGAGGGGAGGGTTCTGACCCCACCACCGCACTGTGGCGTCAGAACTGTGAGTGACATGGCCCTCCACTTAGCAGGCCTGGACTCTTACCAATCCAGTGGCTGCTGGAGCCCCCCCTGGGATTGGCTAACAGGCTGGCTGAGCTCAGAAAGTGCCTGGAGCATGGCCAAGAAGGGGACATACCACATCACATATGTCCCGTGGTGGGTGGGCTCCGGAAGGACTCAAAGACTTCTAAGGCTTGATCTCTGCCCTGGGGAATGCAGGAGAAACATCCCCAAAATGGGTAGAACCAACCAGCAAAGCTGAGGACACACTGATTATAGCAAATGCTCATGGTGAGAAGGGCAGGGAAGGGTTTATTCATTCAGTCGCTGGGGGAATACCTGTCGTAGCCAGGCCCTGCCCTAGTGTTGGAAGAAGAGAACTTTGAGTTTCATGTGCAAGGTGGTAAGAAGCAAGAACTGCCTCAAAAGAGGGGCAGGCCCCTCCAGGAGCCCTAACCCGCTGCAGGTGGGCCAGGAAGGGACAGCAGGCTGTTGGGATGCACGAATAAGCCTCGGGCTGGAGCTGGGAACATGGGAACAGAGAGGTCTAGGAGGCCTAGATTCTGTACTTGACATCTGGACCCTGCCCATGTGTCCCTGTGTGTGCGTCGGGGCCCCTAGCCAGTCAGTTCCTCCTTGCGTACGTAGGCTGCCCACCTCAGAGGAAGAAGCAGCAGCGGCTTTTGCCCAAAGCACACCTCACGTCACGCCGTGGAGTGGGGTGGTAGGGCAGAGGATGGGACCTCAGCTGATCCCAGCTCAGAGAAAGAAAATCCTGTGGAACTGATTCATAAGCAATTGGCTTGGAGCTTAGGCCCCACCAGATGTGCATCTGGTAGTCTTAACGACAGTCTCTTGTCCTTGATCCTGAATTAACTAGACACACCAGGGCTGCTGGGATGGATCATAATGACTCACAGGGGACTTAGCAGGCAAGGTGACTCGGGATTAGCCGAGTTGCAGGGTGGAGAGCAGGGGCTTTAGAAGGGCAGCGAGGGATGCAAGTGGGTGCTGAGTGATCGGGGAGACTCTAGGTGGCCAACTGGGTTTTGACTTGGGAACTGGCCCTATTCTCATTCCTACTCATTGTCTAAGGAGTCAGGAACTCCATGTCTGGAGGGAGTTAATGGAGGAGCTGACCCAGGCAGGAAGGAGAAGGGAATCGGCACGGACAAATGTCTGCTCTGTGCCCACGCCTCGTCTCCATTCCCTTATTAACCCTCTCACTGGGTCGGGCTGCAGGCCAGCCTCTGTGTGCTGGTGGGTATCTAACAGCCAGATCAGGGTGCAGGGGCAGCCCCGGTGCTTAGCGTCTGGTGACTTCCATGATGTAAACACTCCCACCATACTGGTTTCAAGCTACCAGCATGGCTTTGCGGAACACGGAGTTGATCAGAGCAGTGGACGGTTGGAAGAGTGTGTGAGCCACGCACACAGGACATACCACTGTCTTGCCTTTTACACAAAAAAGCAAAGCGGGGCTTGGCAGAGAAAGAAGTCCGCCTCAAACCCCTAGTGTCCTCCTTTCTTTCTTTTTTTTTTATTTTATTAAAAAAAATTTTTTTAATGTTTATTTATTTTTGAAGGAGAGAGAGAGAGAGTGCAAGCAGGGTGGGGGGCACGGAGAGGGAGACACAGAATCGAAAGCAGGCTCCAGGCTCTGAGCTGTCAGCACAGAGCCCGACGCGGGGCTCGAACTCACGAACCGCGAGATCATGACCTGAGCCGAAGTCGGTTGTTTAACTGACTGAGCCACCCAGGCACCCCTCCTTTCTTTTTCTTTTTTTTTTTTCTTATGTTTATTTTTGAGAAAGAGATACAGAACATGAGCGGGAGAGGGGCAGAGAGAGAGGGAGACACAGAATCTGAAGCAGCCTCCAGGCTCTGAGCTGTCAGCACAGACCTGACACGGGGCTCGAACTTAGGAACTGTGAAATCATACTGTGAATCAAAGTTGGAGGCTGAACCTACCGAGACACCCAGGTGCCCCTAGTGTCCTCCTTTCTTAAAGCTCCCTCTTAGTTAGGGAAGAAGCCTGATTTTTGCCTCTCTCCTCAAATGGAAGGGTTGGGGCCGTCCCCTGTCCTATGGGGACAGCCCTGACCTGCTTCCCCTGGGCCCCCAGCAACGGGGCCTTGGGCAGCTACTGTCCCTCTGCAGCCGGACCTCAGAGGTGTCTTCCCCTTCCAGGAACCGGTGACGCCAATCCTGCTGTGTCTGAAGATGCCTTATTCAGGGACAAGTTAAAACACATGGGAAAATGTGAGTCCTGCCTAGGCCCCCTCCCCATCTCTTCCAAGACAGGCCCTGTGGCCTCGTAGGAGGGAAGGAGCCATGGGTGTTTTTAAGGTAGCTGACTCTGGGTGAACCAAAGTGACATTTTAATCGCAGGCTGGCTCCCTCAGCCTTCCTGCCTCGCTTCCCTCTCTGCGGCTGAGTGTGGATACAAATTAAGTTTTAAATCCTCTTGAGCCGGCTGTCTGCAGAAAAATAATAATGTGCTGCACCCACCCCACCCCGTCCCTATTTCAGAGTTCACGTTCTTTGTGGCTTGAGGGGACTTGGCCTGATGAGTGGGGAAGCCCGTGTTAAGCCCACTGTCTGCAGGCAGGAGGCCAGAGGGGTCGGTGACCTCTCCCCGCAGAGTCCTGCCGGCCAGGATGCACCTACCCCCCTCCTCCCCTCCCCACCGCCCAACCACGTGTGAATGAGGCTGCCATCCTTCCAGGCTCCATTTCAGGGAAAATCTCGGATTAGTCATGGAAATCCCAGAACCGACTCTGGAGGTGGCGAAGGGGGCGGGAGAGGCGGCGGGAAAGACAGCCAAGACGCATCGGTGTCTGTCACAGCTGGGGAAGGAATACCCGGATCTCGGGCTGCCTGCCCGGGCCTGGTCCTGCTCTCGGTGGCCTTTGCTGCCCCTGCAGGCCGGGCCGGGAGGGCAGCCTCCCTGCTTGGGGATGCCCGGCCACCCGCCGGGCAGCGGCGGGATGCAGCCACTGCCGCCTGCCGCATTCCTGTCGCCCTCCCACCCAGGGGAGGGAAGGCGGGATGGCCCTGTGGCTGCGGCTCTCCGCTCACGGGTCTCTCTGCCCCAGCCACCCGGAGGAAGCTGTTTGAGCTGGCCAGGGCCTTCTCCGAGAAGACCAGGATGAGGAAGTCAAAGAGGAAACACTTGTCCAAGCACCAGTCGTATCCTTTCCGGCCTGGCGCTGGGGGGCTGCGGGCGCCGACCCCCTGGCCAGACTGCCGGGGCTGCGCTCTCCCTGGGGCTGGGACCGGCTCTGCGGCCACCCCTCTCCTCCGCGCACCCGAGGCCAGCCCACCGCCCTGCCTGGACCACCTTGACCGGCCCTGGGGACAGGCCAGCGTCTCCTGCCGCCTTCTGTGGGCTCCCAAGGAGAGAGCTCCACTTTCTGGCCTGGCTAATCTGCTCTTGGGAGAAAACTTGGTTCTTCCACTGAAACCAGCGAACCTCTCCCTGATTTCCCGAGTTGAATTGATCTGTAGATCTTGCTACCTCCCCACTTTCCTCTTTGTCCCCCGCCTCCTCGCTTTCAGTGGTTCCTTGAGGAAAAATAGGGTTTTCCACATTTTAACCTAGACTCCCACCCATGCTTGTCACATGGGACCCAGGCTATTAGAAGCTGAAACGGCCAGTGGGGAGCAGGGAGGATGCCCCTTCTCCACCCCAGAGATGGGAGCTGGGTGAGGAAGTCTCCCCCCCCACCCCAAGGAAAGGAGGCTTTGGGGAGCCCTGGGGGAGAAGGCTGGAAGGGGAGGAGTCTCCTGGGCTCGCAGTGGGCGGTAGCCAGCCAGGGGCAGGGGCGGTACAACTGGAGGACGATGGCAGTGCCCCCCACCCCTGAGACGTTTTCCTGAATGGCCTGGCAGGCTGGGAGCCGCGGTGTCAACGGCTAATCTGCTGGACGACGTGGAGGGTCACACTTGTGGTGAGGCGAGGAGGGCAGGGAAGCCGGAGCTCTAAGTTGCTTGTGATGGGTGATCCTCCAAGAGGAGGGCCCGGGTATTTCATGGGTGGGCCCAACCTGGGGGGGATACATCATGGATAGGTGGGCAGGTGACCCAAGGAAATGGGTCCTCCTGCTTGGTTCGTGTCGCCTCTCCCTTCCACTCCCCGAAGGGGGCCCCGGCCGCACCTCCACCTAGATCTCTCCCTGGAGCACAAAGTGTCAGGTGCTGTTTCTGGGGAGTCTTCCCTGGGGTGGGAGGGGGCAGGCAGGCCTACTCACGTGGAGGGGCCTCCCCTTTGAGAACCAAGCGCTGTGCAGTTTTAGTCTCTGGGCCCAGACACCTTTCAGCGTGCATGCAGTCCCTCCCAAAAGACACTGCCTTAGTTGCTAGCAGGCCCATAGCTGAACCTGATCCTTAGGCCTCAGAGCAGAGGGGCCCTTTGGTCAGGAGATACCCAGAAGCAAGGGCCAGGGGGGTCTTAGAGGCCATATGGAGGGTGCAACTTCCGCACCCATTTTACAGAAGAGGAAGCTGAGGGAAGAACTTGTCCAGGGTCTCAGAGCTCAGTGATGCAGCCAGGCCAGCAGCTAGGTATTCTGACTCCACACTGTGCCCTGGTGCCCTCACCAGACCCACATATCCCCCCGCCCCCACCCCACCCCAGAGTCAGCTTGTGCCCCAGCAAACAAGGGGGATGGAGAGAGTTGGGTCAGCTCCCTTGCCCAGCCTGGAGGACGTGCCTGCGCGACACCCGGCACGGTGGAGGATGAGACAACTTCCCTCTGCTTTTCAGATGAAGACTTCCGGGGAAGGCGTCAGGAGGCACCCAAGATGGAGGAAGCCCTACGGGAAGGACAGTAAGAGGTAAGGCCTGGAGTCACAGCTGCCCAGAGACCGGGCCTGCCATGCCCTCCTCGAGGTGTCTTCCCAGGGCTCCGGAGGCATTGGGTTCAGGCAACTGGATGGCACAGGTCCTGGTTTTCTTCCCTTGTTGTGAGAGGGGACATGGTCTTCTGCATGGAACTCGTCTTTGGCCTGCCTTCCTTCCTTCCTTCCTTCCTTCCTTCCTTCCTTCCACCAGAGTAATCACACCTGCCTGTGCCAGATCCTGGGAAGAAGGGGGGGAAAGTCCGCTTTGACCTTGAGAGTTTACAGCCAAATTGAGAAGACAGTCCAGGATACACACTGCACAGTGGGAGGGCCACTTAAGAAAAGTGACATGGCCTCACCACAACCGAGCACACGGAATCCTCCCACTGCCTGCTTGGGTTGGGTGGTGTAGGATCGGCCAAAACCAGATGAAGAAACAGCGTCTCTGGAGGCAGCTCTGTTTCTGGCTGCAGCCCTGGGCCCTCAGGCTGCTTTTCCTCCTCTTAACCTGTGCATCCCCGGGGTTGGCGGGGGGGGGGGGGGTTGTGTGGATCAGGGAATGTCAACACCTCCTCCAGGGCTCAGCGGGACCTGTCCCTGTTCCAACTCCCTCTCTGCCCATGCTTCCTTCCGCTAGCCGCTGTCCTACAAGGCTCCTTGAGCTGACGGTGTGGCAGGTATGACCCTGTTTGACTGAAGAAATACTTGCCTCCCTCAGGATAGTTGTAGTGGAGGGAGATTGGCCAGCTGGCCTTCACATCACTTCAAGGTGACTGCCTGTCACACCCCCCCCACGATGTGGACACACTCAGTCTTTCCTCATGCACGGAGCTGCACCCACGATTTCCACTGGTCCGGAATGCTCAAATACGGCCAGCCGGGGAAGGGCCCCCACAGCCCCACCGCTGCTGCCATCCGGTCTCCTTTCCACTGCTCCCCGGGAAACCGTGTCTGGTCCAGAGCCACCCCCCACATCAGGACCTTGCCATCATTTACTTCTCTCCCCAAGTCTTCGAGCTTTTCCTTTTCCAGCTTCTTCCTCAAGTCTATACCCTGTTCCTCCTCATCTTAAAAGCCAAGAGATTTCATCGTTTCCCTTCATTGCCTGACTTGTGAAAAAGTGGCCTCCTCTCCACCATCCCCAGGTTGATCCAGGAAGGTCACCGGCAGGACTAGGTCCTTCTCCGGTTCTGTATCTTTGTGCCTTGCCCCGCCCCCCTACCTTGCTTCTGTGGCCCAGGGCTCCTGGGCCGCCTTCCTCTCTTCCTCTCTGCTGTGTGCTTCCTGCTCCTGATGCCCCTCCGGGTCCCTCCGCCCCAGCTCCCCCGAGGTCCACCTTTGACTCTCTTCCAAGTCTTCTCACTCCTCTCTGGCAGTCCACCACGCTCGTTTACAGCAACAGCGATACTTCTGTGCAGTGGGCTCCAGAGTCTGAATCTCCCTCTCAGTCAGTCCGCCACATCCACCCTGCATCTCCACCGTGCCCAGGATTGTCTTTCCAGCCCTGGGTATGAACTCACTGGCAGCCAAACAACACCTTCCTCCCGACTTCCCCATTTCATTTCCCCTACCCCTTTCAGCTCTGCGCTGGCAAACTCTCACGGCCTGGTTAACGCTTGCTGGTCTCTTCGCTGCCCCTGCTCTGCTCACCCCATCTCCGGGACACCACCTTCCTGCCATTTCCCTCTTGCTGTTTGAGCGAGTACAGGCTTCCGAACTCCCAGCCTGGTGTGTGTGGCCTGCTGAATTCTGACCTCAGTTTACTTTTCTGCCCCTCCAGGTCCCCTGGGTCCAGCTTATCTGAGCTACAGCTGCGTCCCGGAATGGGCTGGCCCCTTCCCCACCTCTCGGCCTTTCCTATCCAGCCGCTTCCCCAGCCCCCTACTCTATCTCTAGCTGCCAGAGGCCCTGCTCCCGCTGTTGTAGGAGCTTGGGTTTGGGGGGGCAGGGCATGACCCGAGGCAGAGTTCCAAGGCTGGCATAGAGTCCCCGGAGGAAGGACAGGGCACCTGTCTTTGGTATCTTCTGCCCCAAACTGTCTCTCCAGGAACCACTGACAAGGAAAGACCCCTGGGCTCCACTGAAACACTTCATCCATCTCTCTTCCCCACCAGATGCCAGCAGTTCCTCCTCACCAGACAAGATCTGACCTGGCAGAGGCGGCTGGAGAGCAAAACCGGCCCCCAGCTGAAGGGCCCAGCTGCAGCCGGACAGATGGTGCTTGAGTACTGAGGCCTCCTGATTCTCTGGCCCCAGTCCAGTCCAGCCCAGCCACTGCCACTGCCACTGCCACTTTCACGGGACTTAGAACTTTGGAGTTTTGTGCTGTGATTGGAGGAAGGACCTGGGGCCCCTAGGGGCAGCAGCCAATCATGGCCCCTTTTGTAGCCAGGCTGTTCTATGGGCAATGAGCAGAAATGCAGGAACCACCATCAACTTGACCCCCCCCCACCTTGTTTAAAAAAATCCCGGAAAATAGGCAAAGGTCAGGGTGCCCAAGAGGGCAGGATGGTGAAGCCCGAAGGCAGAGCCCCTGCCTCTCTCCCCAACTCTCCTCTGGGCAGCAGACACTGCCCGACAGCCCCCCCCCCCCATCCCCAGCTCCCTCCTGGGCGCCTTGGGCCCTTGATTCCCATGATTTCCTGCATCCCAGCCGTTTCCCCAGGGCTGCTGACCCTTGGTACCATCCCTGCACAGATCCGTGGGTAGGAGAGCCCTGGGCAGTCACTCAGGCTCCCTCTGAGTAGTTACGGGGCCACCGCAGAGAGGTATCTACTGACCGCCCCTCCGGCTGCCCCTGGGGTTTGCATGGGCCCCCAGCAGGGACGGGGAGGGTGGCCCCCAGGGAGCTGGAGGACTCTGGCCAGGCAGGAGGATTCTTTACTGTGGCAGGAGACAAAAACCAATTCTGGATGGGAACTGGGGAGGCGGGGGAAGGGGGGGGGGCGCGGTTCACGGGTGGGGTAGGGGCCCTGAGTAGAAGTCCTGCTGTCACTAAGGGTGAGCAGCAGCAGGTTCTGAAGTGATCCTTGAGAAAGTGCAGGACTGAGGAGCGTGGGGGATGAGGCTGCCAGCCTGGGTGGGGGCGGGGCGCCTGGGGCAGAAGGGCTTGCTGGGCGTCTCTTGCCTAGAACAAGAAGGTGAATGATCCGAGGAGGCACACTCCGGTTCTACGAGCCTTACCGGGCACCGACCACTGCCAGTGGGAGGGTGGCTGGCCCGGTCTCTCCGGCCAGACTTCGAGACGGGAACGCGCTGACCTCTCCGGAGAACCCGGGAGCCTGGGCAGGCACGAGGCGTCGCGGCCCCCGCAGTGGAGAACCAGCCCAGCCCAACCGCGCGGGGTGGGGAGGTTGGAAGTGGGAGCCAAGCCTCGGCGGGGCCCTGGTGGCCGCAAGTCGCCCCTAGATAGTGAGGACTTGGCGGGCGCGATCGCACCTCCTTCCGCCGAGGCCGGGTGCACTCGGCCCAGCTTTCCCGGCGCGCTCCGAAGAGGCGACCCCCGGAGGACGTGGGGGTGGGGATCGGGACGCGCAGCGCCGCCGCGGAGCCCGACCAAGTTTGGCACCCGCGCGGGGCCTAGGGCGCTGGCGCGGGGCCGCCCGCCCTCTCCTGCTTCCTGCGACCCGCCTGTGGCCCCCGAGGAGCCCCTGGGCCGCCAGCCCGAGCTCCGAACAGCCTGGGCCCGGGGGGCAGAGGAGGGGCCTCTGGGCTGTGGCCGTGACCCTCCCGGCGCATGGCGGGGAAGCCCCAGCCCCACGTCTGTGTGTGTTGCTTTGTTAGTTGTTTTTTCTCCTATGTGTGGGTTTTTTCTTGGAGCTGTTTCATAGGAATTCCTGTAATAAAGACTTGGTGTTCTCTTGGTGCTCTGATGTGGCCGGCAGTGTGGGCTGGACCCTTCCTCCTCTCTTCTTGTCCTGGGCAGGGTTTGGCTCCTGGAGCCCCCCTCGCCCCCGAGGGTCACCTGCCTCAGTTAACCCTCAGCGTCTGTAAGGCCCCGAGGGCTCAGCTTTCTCCGCAGCGCACTCCCGAGAAGAGACCTGCCGCCCGCAGGGCAACCTCGCCCACCTGCTGCTTTGCTCTGCGCAGTCGCCTTCCTGTTTGCCCTGGGGAAAATCCCTAGCTCCACGGCAAAGGAAAACTCCAAGGCAAAAGCCAGTGTGTGGCCATAGCTTACCCAGATATCCAGAAAGCTTCAGGAGTGACGCTGACGGGAGGCTGCAGGGAGGTGCAAAGGCCCGTAGAGATCTTCCCATTCAAGGACCTCTAGCTTTCTTTCCCTTACTCCCCAGCAGTGTAGGACTACTGCCCATGCCAGGGAACTCCCAGCCCAAAGAGGAAGCTGGTGCCCTTTGCAGACAGGGCAGTTCTGAAGGTTAAAAGGTTCTTTGTTGTGTTGAGCCCATAGGCCTCCTTGTGGCTTTCACTCACATTTTATTCTGGGCTCTCAGTCACCCAGGCCAAGGCCACCGCTCTAACCCCTGCTGCCACATTTGAGCTCAGTCTGGAGGAACAATGCAGGTTCTCCCTGCCCTCCTATAAACAGGTTCTCCTTCACCCCCAGTTAGACCAAGGTAAGACAGCGGGTGATGCTCTCCATACATACTGTTTGGATGTGGGCAAACAAAGCTGATCCTCTAACCCTGGCTCTGTGCATTAAAAAAAACAAAAACAAAACATATATATATATATATATATACACACTGTATATTATAATATATGTAACATAATATATATTATATATATTTAATGTTTATTTTTGAGAGAGAGAGAGAGAGAGAGAGAGTGTGAGCAGGGGAGGGGCAGAGAGAGAGGGAGACACAGAATCTGAAGCAGGCTCCAGGCTCCGAGCTGTCAGTGCAGAGCCCAATGTGGGGCTCAAACCCACGAACAGCGAGATCATGACCTGAGCCACCCAGGCACCCCTAAAAAAATATTTTTATGTAATCTCTACACCCAGCATGGGGCTTGAACTTACAACCCCAAGATCA